GCTCGCAGTGCTTCCTCGGCCAGTCTCGCTTCTTCAGCTCGCCGTGCTTCCTCGGCCAGTCTTGCTTCTTCAGCTCGGCGTGCTTCCTCGGCCAGTCTCGCTTCTTCGGCTCGCCTTGCTTCTTCAGCTCGCCGTGCTTCCTCGGCCAGTCTCGCTTCTTCAGCTCGCCTTGCTTCCTCGGCCAGTCTTTCTTCTTTTGCCCGCTTTGCTTCTTCCTTTAGTGTCGCGTCTTCGGCTCGCCTAGCTTTCTCTGCCGGTCTCGCTTCTCCGGATGCCTCTCCTGCTACTGCAGTTTCTGCCGCCAGCCTCCTGGCAGCAGCTTGTCCTGCATCGGATCGGCATTCCTCCTCAACGACTTTGACCTTTGTTGGAATTAGAGTTGTCTTCACTTTGAAGGTTTCACGTGTCGTATTTAAATGCCAGCGTTGGTGTCTGAAACAGCACGGATCTCGATTGGACGCAACACTACCACAAGCACCGTTGACTCTTGCACCAGACACTCTTCCGTGGAGCATGGCCTCCTCTCGGACACGATGGCTGCCACTGCTCTTCGATGGGCTCCGGTCATCTTCAACACCAAGAAGCCGGGCACCTGGGACTCCAGATACCAACGCCTCACTCGAGGACGTGGTTCAGGCAAGACCGCTCAATTCCATCAGGTATTGAAAGGTGTTTGTTTCTTCGATGTCGCGGTGCTGTGCTTGATAGGCTGACCACGGTGTTCAAAGTGCATGACCTTCCGAGCCATTAAGCAGGCATTCTGCCAGCCTTCGTCGGTGTCTAGCAGGAATTCGAGCGCGGTTTCCACGTCCTGGTGCCGCTCCAAAGCCGCCTCCCGAGAAAAAAAACAAAAGTAACAAAACTCTGTCTGCCACCAGCTTCAAGTTCTGGACCGCAGCTGGCTAGCCGTCTCCGCACGATACAGAATCCACAGCATGAACACACATCATGTCCGGAAGAATTGTCCTATGTTCGGCCGATATTGTCCTCGAAGTGTCTCCAGCTGCTGAGACAGAAAGCAAACAATGATACTGCAAGCCTGACAGGCCGAGAGGGGCAGATCATAGGCCATCCTGGGTCAAGAGGATGTGAGGCACGAACCACTGGAGCACGGGATAGCAAATAGTTCAGATAAGAGTCAGTATTGAACAAGCAAGAAATCCTGCTTGTCTGCGTTTGTTCCGTTGTGAAATCCCCTGATCCATTCGAAAGAAACTTTCCTTTGTGTAGCCCGGGTCACAGCAGAGCGACCAGGTCTGCATGCGTGGCCGGGATGACCTGGGAGTGTGGCGTGCAAGGGCACGAGGCTGTGCCGGTGCAACATCTCACAAGGGTGCCTAGGCCCAGGCGGTGTGCTGACACTAGCATTTACAGCGCAGGGATCCGACGACCCACACTCTGAGCATCTGCAGCTAAGCGAGACTAGTGGCAGCTCCTCGTCTTGGAGTATCCGTGCTGGCGCTGTAGAAAGATCCTGCAAAAAGCAACTAATCTGCCTTGACAGATTCCTCACATCTGGATGTCGCATTCCTTCGGAGTCATTCCGTCGCAGTGTGTCGTGCGCAATCCCTGACACACACTAATGGGCCGAGAGATCAATGGACGCCCACCTGTATCCTGGAGGTTGGAGTCTGACGGGGCAAAGCCTGCAACCTGATGTGTCGCGGACATCGAATTTGTGACTTTCCTTTGCTTGTGCTGTGCAATCTGCTCTTGGGGCGTTGGTTGTTTGCAGGTGTTACCTGGGCCTTGTTCAAGGACAAGTCCTGTGGTATCAGGACTGCTCACTGCTCAAGAAACCCACCTTGGCGTGATTGCGAGACACTGCCTGCAACAGCTCGTGGAGCATGGCACTGCCACGGATACAGCAACTGCTCAGAAGAAGCTAAGACTACGAAATCATCACGGGCGAATGCCCAACAAAGCTCTGAACGTCAAACGAAGACAAGAAAGAGGTTCTGCCGAGCGTCCCTCTCAACTTCTGCATCGGCATCCGAGCCACCTGTCAAGCACCGAATGGGCGGTGCCGCAGCGGATTAGAGCGTCTTTTGTTGCAGCGAGAAGCTGGCGCTCAAGCTCGTCGTGCCGGGCAGCTCCGTGGAGTCCTCGGACTCCATGGCCGGAGCCTCGCCGAGCCCACTGGGATCGGCTTAGTTTTGCACTACTGGGCAGCTACTGGGCAGTTGCAAAAGCTGCTGTGTAGCTGCCTCGTGTGCTGGGACGGATGAAGCCTTGCCCACTTCCGCGCTAGTAGGATCGTCCATTGGCTCCTGAGGACCATGGTGGGAATCTGGCGCGCCGATGTGCAAAAGTAGGGCGAGACTAGCGCGTCGGCCTAGGTTTCGTTCTTACATGCATCCTAAAGCTTTTTGTCCGAGCTCTGCCAAGGCAAACGGTTGCTCCTCTACAGCTCCAGGTTCGAGATGACCGGCTTCAGGGGCGGGCGACTCCTGTAGATCGAGCTTGCAAAGTGCCCCCTGGCTCTGACCCTAAAACGAAGCTTGGGACCTCTTGGCTGTTCTTGTCGCTAGCTGCATCGTCGAGGTCAAGAAGCCGCTCGCGCAGCCAGGCTCCAATCTGATCAATGATCGCACGTATCTGCAGTGTAGCTTCTGCAACAGCACCACAATAATTGCGCAGTTCCTTGCTACATTCCGCATGCGCTGGCCAGCCCAAGAACCTCGGAAGCCATCTCGTCTGAGATGGTGTGCCCGACGCCTCCATGGTTGTGGCTGCAGGTGGTGGGAACTTCACACTTTCACCAGAAAGCTCGCCGTTTCCACTCTTCTGCTTCCCACCTGCATGGCATCGGAATTCGACGTCGCAGCCTTGCCGGCGTAGCCAGTCTGCCGATTCTCGTGCCAACGCCTCCGAAACCATGCCTTAGGAAGACTGTGTGATGCTGCACCGCCATTACAAGTCCATGTCTTCACAAAGTCCGTGCAGGAAGGTTTTGGATGGCTTTACAGTGTGGCGATATACTTGCTCTCCGATGGGTCGAACGGGACCTCGTGGAAGGACCCTGTGCATGCACTGCGGACAGCTATGACTTCGGAAGCAAAACACGTCGACTGTTTGCAAGTGTGCAACGATCTTCTTGCCCGTGGCATTGAAGTGTTGCGAGGCCTGGCACAGTGAGGACCCAATGCTAAGTTGCAGTAAAGCCCTATCTACGCCAACCTAAGCCGTTGCTGCAAACTTGGCTGCACTCAGACTGTACTATGGAGCATTCTCGGGGCCCTTTCTGCGCCTGTGCTGCGCAGCCCTTCTCCCAGTACTCCCAGGGGCGCCAGGCCAGCCGAGCCGAGCAGGGCCAGGCCGCCTCTTTTTTTCGGGGGCCAGCATCGACTCCAAGTTATACTATAATAGACTAGGATATACCATAATGGACTATATATAATAATGTAGAAAGGCTAAAAGGCCCCCCCCCCTTCTTCGATGCACGTGGATATTATGCCCCCCAAAACAGCCCCACGCAACGACTTCAGCTCTCGCGCTTTCGGCGCTCGCATTAGGCGCTCGCAGGCCATGGCCAGCCCCCGGGTCCCAGGCTCCATGGGCCTAGCCGCCATGGGGCGCGCAGCGCAGCGAAGGCGCTGAGGGCACCACCCGCAGAGAAGCCACAAAGGACCAGACGCTGGGCCGGGATGCCAGAAATGCTCGCCTCCTCGGTCTCTCTGTGGCTCTTTTTGCTACTCTGCTTCTTCCTTTTCCGGCCTGGAAAATGCAACCGAGACTCCATCTCGAGGATGTTAATGAGCTCCTTCGCGCTCGCCTCATTGGTCTCTTATTTTCCTACCTTACATCCTCGGCCTGCAAGCCTTCCCAGTTGGTGTGTTGTGCAATGTTGAGGGGCGACGGAAAAAGCTTCCATATAAATTCACATCAACCCCAATCGCAGAGTTGCAAGAAGGCAGAGAAAGCGTGTCGTCAACTGATGTTGCTGAGCGTTTGCTGATTCTTCTCTTCCCAGACAGCTGGCCTCCAGTTGCTCCGGCAGCTGACCTGACCAAATTGCATAAAAGCTGGCTTCATCAGCTGTGGGAGAGAAGCACATCAAGCGTGCTCTCCTTTCCCTCCAACAGTTTGCAAGGACGGCCCCTGTGATGGAAATCCGAAACCGTCGCCTTTGGACAGCCCAGCCTTGCAAAGACTTGGTGGTGTCGAACCATGCAGGGCCGAAGCCGAACAGTGAAGGCCTCGCAGGAACTTGAAGACTGCACAGGTCTGAGTGATAAACAGGACTTGGCAACTGTCATTCATCCTATGACAACTCCGTCTCTGCCACAACATAGCACGCGACAGGACCTCCTGACTATTGCACGTTAGCCGGCAGAGGCGAAGACCGCCGAAGGAAAAGCATCCTCGAGAGTTCTGAGTTGAATCCCTACCTATATAATCAACCCAGACTCCTTCAGTTCCAAGCCGCATGGAAGGCGCGGTGGGAGCCACGAAGCGGGCGAAGGGAAGGCCTCGACGGTACTGACTGCAGCTGAACATCTCGGATCATCATAGATCCTGTGCCCCCTTCTGGTCTTTGGTCAACGGGAGGGAGTGCCAGTGATTTGGGAGAAGTCTGGGGCCCAAGCCTTTCGCAAGGCCGCGTGCCAGTCGCTCGAGCATGGGGCCTGACTGCAGGAGGCCATGAAGCAAGACCACCTCGGAAACCAGCTGCGATGTGCTTTCTGATCTTCGCAGGCTTGGGCAGCCTATTCTGCAAATCCGAGGGGCGGTAGCCGTCGGCTTCTCCCATAAAGGATTGAGAACCAGAACGGGCCGCAAAGGCTCCGACACCAAGATCGTGACCTCACAAGCGTGCAAAAGATAGTTGAAAGGAGCCGTTTGCGTCGGCTCCGAGGCTCGGCACCTCATGGTCTGCGGTGGCCTCCCTCTCCCGGCGCCGGGGCGCGGCGGCGCCGCGGCTGCCGCGGAAGTGGAGTCCACCGAGACCCAGGCGGTTTCTCACCTCCGTATCCGTGTCGGGCTTGTATGCAAGTCTGCATAATCTCACAGGTTTGCAGTTTGCGGCAGAACCGCGATTGCTACCTTCGAAGGCCGCCTGCAATGCGAGGCGGGCACCGTGCGTGGTGCTGGAAGATGTGATAAGCAGACGCCTAGACGTCTAAGATTGAGCCACCATGCCCTTTTGTCCAGGCCTGAGCAGCTGCGCCAGGGTCCAAGGGCAACGGCAGCGAGACTAGAATCTTCTCGCGCTGCTCCAAGGAAAGGCCTCTCGATTTCAGGAGGCAGATCATGCCCTCGGTTGGAATTCAAAAGTAGCTGGACCATGCACACGGCCTTTGCGCGAAAAAAGCTCGAAAAGCTTCTGCACAGGGGGGCTCAGCCTTAGTGCGCTCGTCAGACACGGAGCCCGGCTTTCGGAAGGACGGCTTCTCCCCCTTCAGAGCGGCCCTGGGCCCGCGGCTGGCCGTCTGCCTCCCGGCAGACGCTGGGTGGCGCCCGCCGCGAAGGCTCCGCACCGTGGCCCAGCAGCAGTGAGACTACCTCAAAATTCAGACAATGTCGGCTCTGATCGGGTGATTCTCCCGTGAAGTTGGCTATGGACCGAGGACCAATTGACGGAGACGGCTGCCCGAATCTGCTGCAGCTTCAAGGATGGACTGCTGCTGGCTGCTACAAGTGTGGCATTACTCAGCAAGCGTCAACCCGATCCAGGGCCGAGGCGTCCAGATCACCCTGCGCGGCTGCCTCTCGAGCATCCAATGGTTCAATCTAGAACCCACATTAGGCAAAGGGGCCCCAAAATAGTTCCGACACATCGGCGTAAAATGGCCTGAAGGAGTGGTGTTTCACCCGCAGCATCAGCGTGGTTGGGGTCCGCCTTGTCCCGCAGGAGCGCCTGCACCTCTGGCAATGAGGCGGGCATGGATACAGTTGATGATATACATCCTGCATTACCCATAATAAGGAATATACAGTTCCCATAGTTTAGGGTCCTCAAAGTAATGCAGGATTTCTATCATCAACAGTAGTACTGCGAAAGCCTGCTCGACTGCTGATTGCTCAGATGCCTCTTTAACTCTGTGACTCCACAAGCGCAGCCAGGTCAGGTTCGAGACGGCAGCTGACGCTCAGGTGTAGAGTGCAGGTTCGAAAGTCGTAAACCAACCGCCTTGTGTCGGCCCTTTTTATGCCCTGTTGATTATGCATTATTCGACAACCCTCCAGACCAAAGTCTGAGGGCGGACGGCTCTACGGCACCTGGAAGAGGTCGCGCCGGCGGCAGGCGCGTGCTAAGAGAGATTCCTCCACGTTCGTGGAGTCTAGACTCGGAGAAACCATGGCCCCGAAAGGAACGCAAGGAACTTTCACGAAAAATCTAAGGCGGGGGTTGGGTGTTGCTGAGGTCTTAGGTGCTGCTGCATAAGCGATACTTGCTTAGCACTGTCTCTTCGGTTGCCCCTCAGCTCAAGGACACGATCACATCGCCGGAGCCCTGTGGTGCGGTGCTTCTATGTTCAGTATATGCTCTTCCCCGCAACAACACTATGTTCGATGCCAAAGCTCCCTCTTTGACTCCCGTCATACTCCGACGAGCTGGTGCGAGCCACGGACGGTCACCATCCGTTGTGCGGTATCTTGCCGTGATCCATTGGACGACTGTCTAGGGTCTTACTCGTCCAGATAGGTCCAAATTCAAGCACCATGTATTCTGTCTGTGTTCAACTGTTAAACCGGCTGGTGAAGTACACGAGCCCATCAAGCTTTGTTAATTCTAACGCCAGCGCAAGGGTGCATGCCATTTTTCGAAGCCCTCCATGCCTATGTACAAACTCGCATCCCGCTGCGCTCGGGGCCAAAGCACACCCTTGTTGGGACCACTAGAGCTGACCGATTCATGTGCAGGCCAATCAGACAGACAACTGGTCGCACTGACCTTTCAAGCTGAAAGAGGGGCCTGTGGCAGCCCGCTCCTGAAATGCTAGCATCAGACTAAGATGTGCTGTGGCGAGATTGTCTACTTAGTAAGGTGTTGTTCATCCGCGGATCGCGTGGATAGAGGTTCCGGTCGTGTGATGAGCCTTCAAACCACGTTCGTCGGCTTTGGGCTTCTGGGGCAGCACATCTCTCGCTGTCCATTTGTTGAGTAGCTCTGCATCCTCCAGGAGGCTACACCAGGCGTTGAAAGAGTCGGCGCCCTCACGGCCTGCTCTAGGCCAAATGTGTTGTGCTTGCGAGGTATATGGCATAATAACCTAAAAGCGGCGCGAGTCCCTCCGACTGTGTCCCTCCAAGAATCCAGCTCTCCGGCCTTAGGATGTGACTTTGCCCAGGCCCTCAAACACGGCTGGCGGCTGCACCCTCGGCACTGGACGCGCTAAGTTGACGAAAGCCTCTTAACAACATTCCCCGCACTCCCACATGCCACACCGCCAGTGTTGACTGCAAGATTTGGGCTTCCTGGAAAACCAGCACATGCGCGGCGATGCAAGACAACATTGCAAAGCAAAGGGCAAAGGCCTCGGCATTGTGCATTTGATAAGCTGGTGTTCACATTGGCGCTGTCCCTTTAGGGTTCTGACCTGCCTGTGTGAGGCCTGCTGCTGTGAATTTCTGGCATGAGAAGGCAAGAGCCTGGACTTGATCGAACCGATTTCTGACATGAAGGTGAGGACAGGGATAGGATGAGTTGCAAATCTTGAGGGAGACATGTCGAGGGAGGCCGAGAGTGAAGATCGAACAGTCTTGATCTACAATTGAGTTTGATCACGAAAATTTCCCAAAACTTTCTCAACTTCATAGCCTCAGATCCAGAAGCCACTCGCTGTCGAATCACTGACGTCTGACTACTTCATTCCCAAGGCCCGCCCACAGGTTTAGCAAGCTATCTGCCGGTGAGCCACATGAACTGCGCTGTTCTTGGCAGCTTTCTCGCGCGAGTCGAGATCGTGCTTGGACATGATGCGCAGAAAGTCCCGAAACACACACACACACACACATATGCACATACACGCGTGCGCACACGCGCACACACACACACACGAACACGAACGATTTTCTTTTCGCTGCTAACTTGCATCTATAACTCTCCAAAGTCCTCCCGTCCTTCTAAGCAGTTGTTTCGTGCTCTCCAAGCCCTGATGGGAAAGGAAACTCACACCTCACCGGCTGAGTGTTAAAAACCCTAGGCCAGCGAGCAGCTCAGCACGCTGCAAAAGTCGAGTTCTCTGTGCTAGTAGCTTTCCTTTGCTTCTGAGGTGTCGGCAGGCTAAACCAGCCATAGAACGCCGCCAAACATGCAAAGAGAAGGAGATTTAGCCAATTGAGGACCTTGCGCAGTCAGCTCGAATCGACACACTTTCTTTCAGCAAAGACAAGCCAGGAGATGGCAGACGGTACGAGGTTCCTCAGGTGCGAACATGCCAGGTAGAGTCGGTGAGCTGTGCACGCAATAAGGCCAGCGTCGTCAGGCCAAACACAACCTGGCTCGGCTGTCGCAAAGCGGCACCACTTAGAACTTAGAACCTACTTGTTACTTGCCCACAACTCAGCACGAAGCCCAGAACTGTTATGTGCCAAACCTTCCTGCAGTGCCCGGAGCTCTCCTCTCGTCGCCTCTCGTTCTCTCTTCACCAGCAACCGTCCTTTCGTCGACACATACTCGATCGATGTGAGAGAAACTTGCTCCAAATTACTTGCCTCCGCAGAACTATGTTGGCTGCCGCGTCTATTCGGTTGCTCCGACATGACTGGGGGTTGAACCCCTCCCGCATTCCTGATGGCAACCGTTATTGACGCAACTTGGAATCGACAGCGCGCAGTAAGCAGAGTTCAACCATTGGTGAGATGGCAGCCTTTCTCTCACTATGGGAGATGACATCGGATGGCCAACTTCACACATCGAAATGCGGCATAATTCGGCAGAAGACTCTTTCCGGAGGAGGTCTTAGGCCTGAGCCCAGCTTTTGAATAAAGTCGCAATGCCGAGACTAAGCCCCAGAGAGTCTCAGAACGTGCCGGAGAGGGCGGCATAAGCTCTGACGGCGGCAAGGCGCACGCGGCCTGGGACTTTGCTCTGCTCTCCCAAGTTTCAAGGCCTCTGGGCTGGTTGTCCCTTTTGGCTCGGAGCTTGCACAACATGAAGAGGAACATCGCAGACTCTGATTTATCACCTTCCTTGACCCGGGCTCGGGTACCCAGCCGTCATCGGTCTGCTTTGCAGCCCATGTCAAGAAGGATTGGCCCAAGATCAAGGCCTGAGCATAGTTGCAGAGTTGTACTGTGAGAAAATGCAGATGGCCAGTAGCACACGCATGGGGCGCGGACACCATACAGTCGAATGACGACATGAGTGATCTTCACCTTCCAAGAGATCTGACAATAAAGCCGAACAAAGAGTGAACACGGGTGTACCTGGTTGGCCCACTCAGCATTCTTCTCAGAATGCACGCATGAAGGGACCAACCCTGAATGCTAGATTCGGCCTGGCCATCATCCGGGTTCCACCGGAAAGTGCCATGCCACCTCTTGCATGCAAATACAACACTTGGTGCATGCTTCCACCCTGTCGACTGGGTTCTGCGGGGTCGCAACCACGCCGTGCTTCACACATGAGCCTCCGGCTCCTCCCCAAGGAAGAAGCCGAACAAATGAGGCAGCATGAACCTGCCGGCAAGTTTCCCGCGTTTCGCTGGTGTGATACAGCCAGCACTTTCAGTTTGGCTCGAGGCAAGACTTTATATATACATATATGTATTTATATACTAATAGCAACAACAATAATATCATAATCATCATAATAATAATACAGTTTACTAGTACGATAGATCTCCACCGCTCGAGAACTCGCTGAACAGCCAACGATCGCACACAGACTTTTCTTCGACCGCAACGTGGGATTTCGGCCACAGATCAAAACTCGAACATGTCAGATTTTCATCATTCCGCCGAACGGATGCTCCGATCACCGGAGGGGCGCACCAGATAGCTGGTGAACGCTCCACACAGATCCGAACGAAAACATCAGACGAAACATTCCCCTCGAACACAAGGGAAAAGGGAAGTCTTCAATCGGAGCCGCAGGGGAGTCCGGATAGACCTCGATCGGCTCCTGGAGAGCAGCATCACGCCGACGGGCAGCGAAAGCCTTGCGCTTAGGCCGCGGAACATCGAGAGGAGCCAGATCTGCTCTTTCCCGAAGACTGAGGATCCGCAGCCGGCTTCGCCTTGAGCTTGGGCCGAGGGCCCAATGATGTCACCTTGTGCCTGACCTCGACCGCGGCATTAAGGCCCGGAGTGCCAGCAGGACCGGCCGGCGCTCCACGGAGCAAAGGAGCGGGCCCACCGCGCGGCGTATGGATATGTTTTGGCCCCGCATCGGCGACAAACTGGACCAGCTGAGCTACGGCATCACGATATTCCTCAGCTGTGGCAGGATCTGCCGGTGGAGCTGTAGGCCGAGCACGATGAGCCGGAGGCGCCGGCAAAAACGGCAGATCTCCATTCCGCGATCACAAGCAGTCCAAGAGGGCTTGATTGCCCCTGAGCCCAGTTTTCCGAGGGCACGGCAAAAAAGGCCCCGCGACCGGAGCGGCCGTCGCAAAAGCAGCCGGTGTGAAGACCACAGGCGAGGTCGACACAGATCATCGTAGGTTCCACAAGCAAGGCTTGACAGGGGCTGCATTAGAACCCCCCGAAAAGATCAATGGGGTGGAGTGAGCGGGATCGAAAATCCGGGCCGATCGGCTGATCGCCAAAATGGCCACGGACAAAGTGATCACGGCTGTTCTTCCGATCTGTAAACTGAACTTTGGATTCCTACCCACCAGACCGAAAATTAAAGGACACATTGCATAAACACGAGCATAAAACTTCCGTATGCATACTGCATATAGAGCTGGATATGCATAAACGAAGTGTGTGCGTGTGTCTTATATCTACACTTAATTTGCTCCTTCAGTGTTTGTTCTGTACTATCATACTTTCGCTCACCTGTCTTCAGAGGCTTTCAGAGGCTTCAAACCTTACGCCCTAGGCCCTAAACCTTATAAACCCTAAATCCTAAGCCCCAAAACTTAAACCCTAAACCCGAAGTCCTAAACCTTGAACCCTAAACACTAAATCCTAAACCTTAGGCCCTAAACCCTGAACCAGGATCTTCTGGATTGGGATTTTCGCAGCTCCAGAGGTCTGGTTGAGGGCTTTCTTAGCTCAAGAAGGGCCCCAGGCATATGGGGTTTTGTATGTTTTCTTATATACAGGGTTTCGGGTCTAAGATTTAGGGTACAGGGTTTTATGGGTCCAAGGCATACGACAGGTTTGCTCTACAAGTTCCATGGGTTCTCGATGGTCGGGTTAGGGCCGCAATTCAATTAACAGCTACGCTACACCCGCAGCAACCTGGATCACAAGCCCGGTTTTAAACTCTTGTGCAGGGTCGTATCTGATAGTATGCTTCAACAGTTTAAGGCTTCTTGACACTCATACCCGGACAAAGCCAGGCAAGGTCTGCAGACAATCCGTTTGATACTAAGCTTCAACAACACCAAGACCTGCGCAACTGCTATGATAGTCACGGCGACGAAGACGACTAACAATGGCAATGCTATTAAGAACAACTACTATGATACTGGAAGCCGTTGTGGCAGCAAGACAATAGCGATCACACTAACAACAACAGTCAAAGTCAACAGCAATTAAACATAAGTACTTGGAACTTTGAAACCCTATGAAGGGAGTCGATGCCAATGATCAGGAACTGGTGGTTTAAGGCGAAAGGGATTCACCCTAGAGCCCCACGTCTGCAAAAAGTACCTGCTTTGAGCTATTTGGAGCGCCAAAGTTAGGGTCTAGATGAGGAGCCCCCAAAAGGTTAGTATTTCGACCCCTCACTTGATAATAAGATTAAAATGGTATGCTACTATAACTATACATATTTTTACATACACACACATATATATATATATATCTATATAGAGGAATTTATTTATATACTCTCATATAGTGACACGCTACTGCGAGATCCGCGTTACGGTATTAGGGTGCGGATGGGACGATTTCGGCAATGATTTCGACTCTCACTCTCACAGGGCCGGCAAGGGCTATGATTTCGAGTTTAGGGTAGCCTTGAAACGCAAATCTCCTGGACCTCCTTGCTTGACCGATGAAGCAAGTCAAGCATCTACGCGGGAAAAGACCTACGCGCGGTCAGCCTACACCTGCGCACTCATGGTAATATAGAGGCCGTAATGACGTCGTACAAACTAGTATATCGACCCCTATGTTAGGCTTTCCCGGAAAGCCAACTGTGCGCTCACAAACAGATCCCAAAGCCTACGCTGCTTAGGCAGGGCCCTTCGATATCTGCTCCATGATAATACCCGAAACCCTCTACCCTGAAACCTAACCTCTGAGTTTCGACACTCGTTGCTTTTGTTGACCGGCGTGGGCCTACACCAAAAGAAAGAGGAATGCCGATGTGCACAGTGGCACTCGGTAACTCAGTGTCTTTCATGTTATCGCGGCATAGTCACCAAGGCATGACAAAGATGAAACGGAGCGGGCATCAGCAGGCAATCATTTCCGAAGCCAGATGTCGCCATCGCTCCAGCAGATTCTCGTCTGCGCTTGCCGCTGAATCTTGCCCAGTTCGACCCGATCGTTACGTTCAAACCAGACTGAATCCGACGACATGGGGTAGAGAGGGGTTTCCTCGTGGGCCGTTTTCCATTGAATGTCCCAGATGATGCTGCCGCCACGAATCTCACCAAGGCAGGAATTGTCTTTCTCTCTATACCAATAGCCCTCCAAATCGTTCCAGAAGCTCGAATCGACCTCCGTCTCTTCCGGAGGGTTTTCTGCCTTGCCGAAGTCCTCGACAAGCCCAACCATGCAGTTCTTCTCGTGTTGAAGAAGAGTTCCTTGACAACAGGGCCTCGAACATCCTTGACAACAGGGTCTGGTACAGCTGCCGCAGAGCCAGCCGCTGAACCACATGGGACCAGCTAATCCAGCCCTGCTGCTTACTTATATGATGTGCTGACCTGGACAGCGAAGTAAATTGAAGCATTGCTGTGAACTTGACTTCTAATTATCCGAAGCCCGTGGTTGCATCGTCTCCATTACACAAAGGTGATGAGTGCATTCGTCAGCACTCTCGTCGAAACCATGGTCTATGGTACGTATGGACCCTGAAAAAGACCAGCTTGCTGAGTGATGCTGGCTTGTGCTTTTGAAGCGGCTGCGGATGCTCAGGGCAAACCCTAAGGATCTTCAGCGAGTCATATTCCATACAATTGGGCCCTGTAAGCGCCCTCGCCTCGATAGCTGCTGGTGCAGCTGCTACAGTAAAGCCAGTGTTGAGCGAATGCTGATACAAACCCAATAGCAACTTTCCAGTCTTGTCTGGTCCTAGCTGCCAGCACGACCCAAAGCTTCCGAAGTCGAAAAAAGCCCGAACTTGCCCAAAGTCTACATACTGTAAGGCCTCGGAATTAAAGATAGCAAAGATTTAAGGTGCCTGGTTTCGGGGCCACGTCCTCAAACAGCCTCACATGTTTCTCCTCCCTCACAAATCGTGGAACAGGTCTCTGAAAACGGACCGATCAAATCTGAATCGAACCCTCCAATTCGAGGACGCAGTTCGCTCATCTTCGCCATGAACCTGAGGGTGCACTGACGAACGCATGCGGCAAAAGCATGGTGCTTCCACTAGTTTTTTGCACGCTGCTGCTTGTTGAATGGTAACCAATGAGAAAACCATGGTCAGCCCTCTCTGGGGATATATGCTCGGCTCACCCACATGAGCTTCTGCCAGGAAAGTGTGTCTGTCAATGTATGCTCCTCGCTCAACCTCCCAAACAACCTCAGAATCCCACGTGGAGATCGAGGTGGCCTCCACCAACACAACGGACACGGCAACAATTTCACTGAAGAAAAGACCAAGATACCTTTCTTGCACAGACGGTGCCAACGGCACGGCCTTGAGTTCCACCTTCCGCGTTGGATGCTTTGGAGGCTCTTGTCTCTACAGTCTGTTGCTGCTTCTGGGTGGTGCACGAGGGACTGCCAATCGAATTCTGCATAAATTCATATAACAACAAAACATTTTCTATATATATATACACATATAGATATGTGCATATATATATATATATCCTAGTAAGCCGGTGTTCAGTGATTGAAGCCGTCGCTTCATGGCCCCCTAGCTCTAGCAGAAATCGGTAGCAACTTTGACTAGTGCATCAAATAATTGCAGAGCAACACAGCACTGCCAGCAGTAATTCCTCTTCCAAAAATCCTACCTTGCGCAGGGTAAGTTGCAGAAAGTACTTAGTACTTCGGACGATAGGACGGTTTGAGATTGAGGATAGAATGTCCGCAGGAAGGGCAACCTCAAAAACAGAAGCAATCGGGTGTGGCAGAACCCTTAACCCTAAACTCTAAATCCTACTGAAGCCCTAAAACCTCAACCGCTGGGGCCCTATTTAAACCCTACAAGCTCCTAATTCCCTAAGACAAAGTGCAGAGGAGGAGTTCTGCTCTTGCTGGGCCATCTAGGAGTGTACACACCCACTACCCAGAGCCCTAAGAACAAAGACGGGGAAGGGCCCCCAAACCCAAGGTGCCCCATGAAACCGCCCAGAAACCCGAAACCCTTCGA